AATGAAATCTGCTTACATTTGCATAAATTGGATTAATGTATAAAATTTATAATGAAAACATATTCAGAAATGTATTATTTTCTTCTAACACTTACCATTTGGAGCATTGTTGTGATGAATAATAACGTTGCTTTTATTTAAAAAAAAAAAAAAAAAACTGATTTAACATTTACTTATGGATTTTTTTTAATTTGTAATTAAAATATAAATTTAATTTTATATACAGTTACAAAATTCGTCGCAGTAACAAAATTAACTAATATTATACACACATACACAGAGGCGATATTAGTAGATACATATAACGATTGAGAAAGACATTAAACTCATTCGTGAGTTTACGCACACAAACCATATAATCAGAAAATGGTGGATTTTCTTTGTCACCAAAGAGCTTACGCTTACTTGCTGCTGTCGTTTTATTTATACACACATTCGAACATACACAAAACACAATTGTAATTGATTTTGGTGGGTCGTATACGCGAAAATGTACTTATCGTAAATATCGCTTATGCATTGTGCTTTAAATGTCATGAAAGAAAAACAAAAAAAAAAAAAAAATTAAACCCTTTTTTTTTTTTTTTTTTTTTTTTTTTTTTTTTAATTTGACAAATAATTATTACTTAACGTTAATAAATGTTGTCGAAACGATGATGATGAATGAGACACTTTAGGCGGACTGTCTTGTAATGTATTTATTTTTATTCAAATAGTTAAAATTATTTAAACACTCAACAGCATTAAAACGATGTTTCTCATGAAAACGAATACAACGAAAATTCATTTTTTGCATTTTGCACGAATCACAGTTTTAATAGATTAGTTCATGTGCTCTCACACTCACATATCGCTTCGTTTATTATTAAAAATTTTATAATTACTTTTCCATTTTTATGCAGAATAGTTTTTGTTTACCTTATTCGTTCTTCTTCTTACATTTTGTATTAAGAAATATTCCACATTTTTCTGATATACAGATTCACCCCAGAAAATTTAGTTTATTCTCCCTTTTCTTTCATTCTTTTTAAGGAAATAAGAATTTCGTATGAATTTATTTAGAGTAAGATAAAAAAAAGGTTATAAAATATCGAAAGGAGCAGGCCGTAAAATATGGTTGCATTTATTATTCATAAATTATTGTGCGTTCAAAATGAATGAAGTATTCGCTCAGGTATTTTATGAGTCTTATTGTTGCACGTTTAGTTAGCAGGGAAAAAATCTGCAATTTTCTCACAATTTCTTAGGAGATACACACACAAATTATTGTCGACCAGATAATATTAAAACGAATCGCGATTTGCAAGACACCGACACCCAGAGCAAAGTTAACAAACTGGTAAATGCCATGCAGGCACAGCCACCACAATTACCACGCGTACAAACATTCACATTCAATAATACTGAAAAATTTTTTTCACAACCTTTTTTTTTTTGGGTTTGTTTGAAACGAACTGACATACACTCATTCAGTAGCCATACACATCATTTTTGCAATTTTTTCACTTGATTTATAAATTTTAACAAAGTCTGATTAAATTTGCATTTCGTTGTCTTATTGTTGTCGTTTTAAGGATGACAAAAGTGTAAGATACAAATTTTTTTAAATCTTCTTTCTATAGCACATTTGCTTTGATTATTTAAACTCTTTTTGCCGCATTCTTAGTTGTTTTATTATGAGAGCTGCCGCCGCCGCCCATTGAAACTTCTTTTTTGTGCTGAGGTTTACCACCATATTGATTTTTTTCGAGCTGCTTTTTTTTATACATGTTTTTTTAAAACTAGCAAAGTCAGCTTAAAATTTGAAGTTACATTTAATTCAAATGATTTAAGAGTTTACGTTTATGATAATACTGAAAATGTTTATAAACTCTATTCAGTTTCATTTTCTAACATTTTAAGTAACCTCACGAAGATACATTCCTCTCATAATCGACAAAATTTGCAAAGCGACAGCAGTGTTGCCGAGTCTTTAATTATGGCACCACTTAAAAAATGATGTTGCCATACTCTAAATAATAGAGATTTGCAGAAAGTAACATTGCACCATTTATAATAACTTTTTTCTGAGATAGATGTAAACCAGTTAAACATTTATTATACACACGCCCCTTTTTATACATTTTGTAAATGTAAGCAAGCAAATGAACAAAGCAAAAAGAAAAAAATCAGAAAAATTAGCTGAAAGTGAATAATGTTGATATTTGTTCTGATCGATTTTTAAAAATTTCTTGACAATATTTTTTTATTATTATAATTATTGTTATTATTAATTTAGCTAGAGAATAACTTCTAAGACTAAAAGCTAGCATTTGCGGCTATCGGCTTTATTGAACATTGCACCGCACTTGAAACTGGAACCCGCGATCATTGAGTTAGTCGAGATCCTTAACTTACTCGGCCGTTCAAGCGGATAATGTTAACATTTTCATTATCATTTTATTATCACGTTATAGCCAAGCAACGCCTAGTGCAGTTATTCACTTCTCTTGGTGATAATACACCAAAAGGTACACGTTATTTTCATTCAAAGCCACAATATTTATGAAAGCCCGTTTATTGGAAGATAAGACTTGCTCTCCATATAAAAATTCGCTCTTCGTGATAACGTCTATATTTGCTACGGTCCAAAAAATAAACATATTCGACCAAAATACCCTATCGTCCATTCTTTCACAAAATATTAAAAATGTAGCCCGTTTTCTGAAGGGCGTACTCCTCGTGAGATATCCTATATGGAGTGGCGCCAAGCAATAGACCTATCTAATTCAAATAACCACCTAATTTTTTTATTTAATTACTATCATGAACAAATTTTCATCAGAAGAAAATTAACAATTACAAATTTTTGGCTTATAAAGGTTTACATTTCCCGAAAATCCTTATATAGGGTGATATTCAAAAAGTAGACTTGCGTGGTTCAAATTCGCTAACGTAGATTTCTTTGTCAATTTGATCGGTTATATGAGAGGAGAATCGAAAAATTGCCTCAGCTGGGTCAAAGTTTTTACATCGGTTTAGAATAGCGAAACACTACTACTCAGCCCCTTCAGCCGAGAAATTTTGAAAATTGCAAACTTTCTCTTATAACGACCTTTTAGACTAGGGCGTTATATGAAGAATGGTCAAAAAAGCTGAACAAATCCGAACCATTTTCCGTATCATTCGTCCTTGGACCAAAGTACGGGTGTGTGCCAAATTTCATTGAAATATCTCAAAAATTGCGACCTAAAGCTCCAACACAAGAATGCTTGGACTGACACCAGACGAACGGACAGATGGACAGGCAGGTTTAGGTCGTTTGAGAAAATTATTCTGAATTGATCGATATAATAAAAGGTAGGTCTACCTTAAACACTTCTGCGCGTTACATACGTCCGCACTAACTTAATATACCCTGTACCACATGTGGTGTAGTCGGTCACGGTTGCAATTAAATACCCCACATCATTTCTCTTAATATACTAACAAGTATACTGCAAAAGCAAAAGCTTACTTTTCTTGGAAGACCCCATATGAGCAGATATCAGACGAACAGATAATCGGACGAACGGACGTCATTAAAAGTGATTCTGAATCTATTTCTGTAATAAAAGGTGAGTCTATTTGAATGTTTTCCCACTTTTACAAACATTCGAGCAAATGATTGCTCCACGAATGTAGGGTATAAAAAATTAATATCAGGTTGACAAGGTTAAAAAATTGCACTTTAGAACTTTGCCAACTTCGACAGCTCGTTATTTGACAATGACTTAATATTTTACCATTCTATTTTTTTTTGTTACACATTTGCGCGGAAAAGTAAATTATTCCAAGCTCCAAAAAAATATTGTTAACATTGTTTAATGTCCATTTTTTTATGATAATGGATCGTTCGGAAATTGGCACTGTCATGGAGTATGAGTCCTTACGTGGAGCTACGGCATCGTAGACCGCGCGAAACATTGTGTAATTGGTTCTAGTGTAAATACGCAGCAGACAGTAACTTTGACCTCACAATGATGCATGCGGTTGCCCACAATCGTAGGTCAATAATGACGAGCTAAAAATCACCGTTGAGTCAGACTCATCTAAAAATGCTAATTAATCATTGTTAAATATCCATTTATTTAAATTAGAGCCGATAGCCTGTGTTGCTAGTGCTCAATGTCTTTTTTTTTAGTCTAAGAATTCAATTCATTAGTCTAAAATTAAAATAATAATAATAATAATAAAGTTTGCTGTTAGCAAACAAGCAATATTAACTCGTTTGGCTCAAATCGAAAAAGTGAAAAAGTTAGATAAGTGGGTTCCCCATGAACTGAACGGAAAACAAGAACAAAAGCGTTTGAAATAACAATAAACATGCATATATAATAATAAAGTAAATTAACTTATAAATCAGTATATATATAAAAAAGGAAAATAGCATAAGGTAATAAAAATTTGAGGCACAACTTTTAAATTTGAAATAAATTGTCTTTATTTTTCTTTTTTGCTGTTTTTTTTAGCAACATATGGTGCGCATGGTATTTGTTTGTTTACATAAAATACCATATGACGACTTGTCAAAGCCAAAATAAAAATTTGAAAGTGGACAGCGTAAGCTTTAAAAATTCTAAATAGGCTTCCTCATTGCTTTCCATGTCTTTATTACTATAAATAATAATATACCCAAAAAATTATCTTCAGCATCGAGCCAGTAATAGAAACAATGTATATTAGAAGTTTGCTATGAAGTTTATTTTATGTTTGTAAAACTCTTCCAGAGTTGCCAAATTTTTAGAACGTTTTTTTTTTTTACTAGGGGTACAAGTAAATTTAAGAGGTATTAATAATATGAACTTGCGCGGAACCGCAATTATAATCACGTTAAAAAGCAGTGGTAAGGATTAACTTCAATATTTGAATATGCCGACAAAATGCAATTTGTTGGAAGCGTTGTATTTCCGCTTCAAATTGCGTTTGTGCGATTAGAGATACCAAAACCCCGTTTTTCAAACTTTATTATGCTTAAAACCATTGTTTATTGACTTTTAAAAATTATATTTTAGAGGATGTTCCGCAAAATATCCTTTACTTTTAATTATTTGTTGCGAGAGGCGATGTACATTTCTGTCATTATTCACATATTGACCGTTGAAAATTTCTGTGGCTAGAGTCTTTACTTTTTGAAATCCATCCTGGCAGATAGCTGTAGCAGTTAGAAGTTCATGATCAGCCAGGTATAAACCAATACAATATGATCTCGATGCTCTCGCCAAACTAGAAAAAATGCAATAAAGGATGGAGACCATATCAGCTATGCGACAAAATTCGTTGTGGCATTCCACGATACCCGTACCATGACGGGTAAGCAAAAGATCGCAACACATTTGTAGGCGAGCAACTGACTGTTCTAAACACATAGAAGCCGGTTGTAAGCTCGGATGAAGGTTTTCGTGCAATTCCATGTTCGTGATGGGATTATCAATACTTGAACGTTCCATAAATTTGGACAAAATATGACCAGGATAAAATAGAGGATTACGTTGTTTGCGGATGTTATCGCCTATAACGCTCTATAAATTCAGGAGTTACATTTAAATATTTTTTGATTCACATTATAAACGAAAGATCTATAAACATACTCCCACATGCTGTAGACCCACTAAAGCTATAAAAGCATTTAACATAGTTATTGACTCTCCATAAACATATAGTTGCATAGCGTCTCTTAAATACCGTTCCGTCATTTCTCCAGTTAATAATGCTTTAGGACCTTTTAAATCCAAAAGGCTTATGGAAAGGTTCAAAAGCTCTTTTAAACTGAAATACTATCAGAAGAAAATTTAGTCACAGTAATTTCTTAGGAGGACGTACTAACTTACCTTTGTAATGGCTGTTTCTAAGATAACATCTGGATTCTGAAATTCGTCCAATAGACCTGCAGTCATGTAAATCATACTCTCCACGCCATATAGCGATAAAGTAGCTTTAGCTAAATGTGTTTGCGCGAATTCCATATCTCTTAATAGAAGAAAGGGGCAAAAATAACATGACAAAGCCTTCACATTAAATTCGTTTGAAAACTCACTTTAAAGTAACACCCATTTTCTTTGTTTCTATACAAAAATTCGTCAAATAATTTAAAATATTTTTTGACAAGCCAAGGGCTACCAAAGCATTCCGTAACCGGTTCGATTGTTGCAAGAATTCGCCTACAAATTTACCTTCATGCGGCAAGCCTAAAATGCAATTTTCTTTCAAGTTAACATTATCGAAAGTTACCGTTTGCATCGTAGAGGATCGGCAACCAAAAGTTTCAACACGTTCATGAATTCTAACGCCTGGAACATTCGAATCTACTAGAAATGCAGTTGTGCTGGCTTGATCGCTTTCCACTTGTTCGCTGTACCGTGAGGTTTGTGCTAAAACCAGAAAAAGCTGTGAAGCTTCCGCAGCTTTGGGGGGTGCTACTACAAGAGTCTTAGAGCCATTTAAGCACCAGTTCTGGTTGGTGGCATCATAAAATGCTTTAGTATGAAATAAGGAATAATCGGGAGCATCTAGCTCATATATCGCTTCCCTCGCTACCAAAGAACCTAAACAAAACCTGTTAAAATGCAGAACTTCAAGCGAAGTATAATCAAGGTTTACCTTTAGCCAACTTTGTTAAATATTTCTGCTGCTGTTCTGGTGTACCTTTTTCTTGCAGTGCATCAACAATAGAACGATGTGGCAGCAGTGAGAACGCTACATCGACAGAACCTTGACATTCCGGTTCCGTAGCCATTAAACTGGCACTAAAGTTCCAGCCTTTACCATCAAAATCTCGAGAAATATTGAGACCGTATATATCCAAATTTTGTAAATCTTTGGCCAAAGTCGCTATAGAATTGATGTCTTCTTTAAATTTATTTACGGTAAAGTAATCCTGCAAAGGCTTTAAATCATTTTGCAGCTGAGCCATATCATCGCGTGTTATAACCTCCGGATATGCTAACAGTTCCTTATCTACTAAGCCTACGAAGAAATTCTTTGCTAAAGGCAAGCGAGGTTGTAATTTTTTGCTGGCTTGTGAAACAATTTCTTCATGTTCTTCCTTAGCGTCGGTAACAGACGCCGATGCGCTAGATGTGTTAGATGCATGTTTGGGCCATGCTGCGTATTTTAACGATTGCAAGACATTTCTTGATTTACTTAAGTTGAACATTTTTCTCTAAACTAAAAATGAAACTTAACTAAAACATCTGTTCGTGGTGTTGTGAGCAGCTGCTCACATGCGTGCAAAAAAGTGCATTTTTTTATTTACAAAAATTCTATAAGAAATCAGCTGCTTTAGCTTTAACTAATGAGCGTACAATAAATAGTTACAATAAATAGTTAAAAAATGTTCCTACGCGCTTGTTTAAGGCTGAAGAAATTGGAATATGCGGATTTGAACAAGCGTTTTTATTCATATCGTAATGTATTATTACTAACTGAGCGAGATTTCTTTCAAGATTTATTCCCTGACACGGCCCGGTAAGATGTATCGAGAGTGATTTTCTTATGGCTTATCTTCTTCGTCTTTAGACCACAGATAACAAAGATTTTTGAAAATTCACCTCAAACCATATACGCTGGATTTGATCCGACTGCTGAAAGTTTGCATGTAGGAAATTTATTGGTTATTATGGGATTATTACATTGCCAAAGGGCTAGTCATCATCCCATTGCCCTACTAGGAGGCGCAACAGCCTTGATAGGTGATCCCAGCCATCGTAAAACAGAAAGAAGCCAATTGAAACAATCGTTAGTACAACGTAATTTAGAAGCAATCAAACAGCAATTGATAAGAATATTTGAAAATCATCAAAATTTTTTATGGGACGACAAACTACATAAAAGACCTTTACCACAATTAAGGTAAAATGCATTTTTATTTACATCTTATGTTTAATTTGTTTTCCCTTAGAATAGTCAACAATGCTGATTGGTATGAAAACCTGAATATAATCGATTTCGTAAATCAAAATGGTCGCCATTTTCGCTTGGGTCAAATGCTTTCACGCGCGTCCGTGCAATCTCGCATTGAAGCTGATGGCGGTATGAGCTTCGCTGAATTTACCTATCAAGTATTTCAAGCATACGATTGGTTACATTTGCTGCGGAATTATAATTGCCGCTTTCAACTCGGAGGCTCTGATCAGATGGGTAATCTAATGTCTGGCCATGAGCTTATCAGTAGAACAGAAAGAAAAACGGAAGTATTCGGTTTGACGTTACCTTTAATAACAAACGAAGAGGGTGATAAATTTGGCAAATCAGGCGGTACTGCAGTTTGGTTAGATCAGGAAAAAACATCGGCTTTTGCACTTTACCAGTTTTTCATAAGGCGACCGGATGCGGAAGTGGAAAAGCTCTTAAAACTATTTACTTTTCTAACTCTACCAGAAATCGAAAATTTGATGACCGAACACAGAAAAGAACCGGAAAAGCGGAAAGCTCAAACTATATTAGCCGAGGATGTCACTTTACTAGTCCATGGAGGTCAATAAAAATTTCAATTCATGGTCAAAGAATTCCTTTATGTTTTCTGTAGATATTTGAAATGTGAAAATTTTTCTCTAATGAACTTTTAAATTTCACAGAAAATGGTTTAAAACAAGCCGAACGCATAACGAATGCCCTATACAAGGGTCAAGTGGAAGGTTTGGCCGAATTGAATTGTGGAGAAGTTCAACAGACTTTGAACGGTGCTACATTGGTAGAATTGTTAGCCGAACCGGACATAACCATACTACAAATGGCCATGAAAGCTAAATGCTTTCCTACAGAAGGTATTTTTTCTATTAAAAAATATCCTTCTTTTAAAGAAGACCATGACGTATTTTATTTTCCAGCTGATGCTGTGCGAATTATAACGGCCGGTGGTTTTTATATTAATCAGAAACGTAGCCAAAATATAGCGGAAATAATTAGTCATGGCATCCACGTGTTACGGAATGGTTTAACTATATTACGTGTTGGCAAACGAAACTTCTATATAGTGCGTTGGTTAAAATGAAATAAACTGTAATAAATAGTTTTTGTCAATTTAGTATCTTTTATGTCTTATTGCGTCGCCATCTCTTTCTTAACAATAGCTCAGAAGATTTCTCCTTTTTGATCGTTTTATCGTAGAATTTACCGCTTTTTGTGAATGCTTTCCGTTCGTTACGCATTTCAGCTAATTTGCGATTTTTTTGTTTTAAAATATTCTTTTTATTCGCTGATTTTTTTTTGCCGCCTTCTGAAAATTGGACTTTGATGCGACGTCCTTGCAGTTCGCTATTATGCAAACTAAATCCTCTTTGGTAACCTTCTAGGTCATCCATTTCTACAAAGGCGAATCCGCCACGACGATTCTTAGGTATACGAACTGTACGTACTGACCCTATTTTGCCAAAATGTTCCAATAAATCTGTTTTACTTGTGTCAAAGTCCAAATTAGTTACATACAAAACGTAGCGGTTGGCTTTTGATGTTCCACGCATCAGCTGAGTTAATTGCTCTTTCGACAACAGTTTGCTGGCTACTCTATTTGAATTACAAAGTACGTCACTTGCATTTGTAGGTAAGTGTTCATTCGAAAAGACATTTTCTTCCTTTATCCCCGCATCTTCTTCTGCATCACTTGTTAATTGACTTTTATTTTTTTCACTATATTCATCAAATATATTCTCATCAAGATCACTACTTTCTCTACTATTATAGATACCATCTGTGATTTCTCGACGCTTTTGGTCATCAAAATTTCCCAACAAATCTGCTGTATCATCGTTAACGGGTTCTCTTATTCTATCTGGCTTTACATATTCATGTACGTTATAATCACTGTCATCAGAGCAATCCTATAAAAAATGCAAAAAATATATATCTTTAAAAATTTATCATAAAAAATGTCAGAAATAGTTACCATTTTTATGAATGGAGATTCCTCTAAGTGTTCCAAAACTTCCAAATTGATTTGCGAATAATGATTGTCATGCAGAGGAAAAACGAAATGAACTCAACTATATCCGTTATTACTGTTTCATTTTTCCATAACTTTCTCTGTTTTTTGAATATTTGATTTTGACCTTTTTTCAAAATTATCCAAGCTAAGCTTTTTATGGTTCGTTTTACGAAATATGAAATAGCAAAAATGTTGAAGAATTTTCAATTTTTCTCTACGGAAATATGCTATTATCAAGAAACTAAATAAACAAAATTATGCGCAGATGATCCACACGTGTTTTGTCGATTCGATCAGAGAGAGAGTTGCTATTAATAAAGAGAGAGAGAGTTGCTATTAATAAAGACAAAACTAGACATTTTACTATACGCGTTTATTATGACACTATAGCTAAAGATGGAATATAAGGAGACGAATTTTAAAACCTAAAAAGCATACATAGATATGTAAAGAAGAGGAGTCACATATTCGGTTTACTCACTATTAGTGTATATTTAGAGTTTGTGCAGTGCAATGAGTTATGTTGCAAAATCAAGTGGATACTGACGTATGAAAAGTTTACCTTTCGCTTCTGTGTTTAGCTGTTTGGCAAAAAGCGCTGAATATAAAAGCGAAAGCTATCAGCTACGGGGCTACCGACCGTTTAGTTTTTTTTCTAGTTCCAAGGATGAAAAGATTGTTTTACCTTTGGAGTCAATAAATTGAATGCTCTATTTCACATAATTTCACTTTTTATTTACATTAATATTGAGAAAAGGTGCTCTGTAATCAAATTGAAGTCAAAGTATATAGTGTGGAGTGTTAATTTATCATAATTGCCGTCCAATGTATATATAATGGAGGCTGCTGGCAACAAAGCCCTGAACATTGTAATGGAGTGTTGCCATATCCATATATAAGTTAAACGCAAAACATGGTGTGACATGAAAAAATGGCGATACGATTACATTTCGTGTATATAAACGTTGCTAGAAGCATTTGGCTATGTTTTCATATATAGATCGCTCTCCCATTCTCTCTCTCTGTGCTTGTATTGCCTATTCAGATATATTCATCAGGTTTGAAAAGTTCTCAAAAGTAGGAGTATGCAGCACTACAATGATTTCATTCAACTTTATATAAAAGCGTACATTCAAATCATCTTTACTTCCCTGCATACTCTCGCCGAGCCGGAGAAAGTTTCTTTTGATGAGTTTTTTTGTTTTTTTTTTTTGGTTTTTTTTTAGTTGAAATATATAACAACACGTTAAGCGAATCTTGCTTATTAAGAGTGTACAGTTGATTACATACTAGTAATATTGTACATATACGACGATAGTCCCCGTAATATTTAACCTTATGTTGCCGTCTGGATACCGATGTCATCATCGACAGTCTCGACATGGCGAAGGTTTAAGTGGATAGTCCTCAGTAGTTTACGTTCTCAGTGAGTTCGTATGGCGTACCCGCTCAAATAAACAGAATCTTCCCAATATAAACTATCTTACTGACGCCATCTATTAGTGACTGTCGCTTGCTTCACTGACACTGGGTATCACAGTTGACAAAGTACATTTTGCAGTGACGTCCAATTGAACTTCTAGCTGATGGTTTATTACATTGCAAGTGACATTGTGTTTGTTGCAACGCCGTTGTGTGGTATAATCTCGTTCCCGGTGTAATTGAAGCCGAGTAAGTTACCAATGTAGAGAAGTCTGACACTTCTTTCACAACGATGCAACTCTAAGTTGAGGTGACAACACGAATATCTCAATAGTTGGCTAAATCAAGTAAGCTCGCTGGCAATCGCGGAAAAGTCCATAGAGTTTTAGCGAATCAATGTCGAGCGGAACTGTACGAGCTAGCAGACATTTCGAAGAGTGTAATGCATCGCATATTAACTGAGAATTTTGACAAGGGGAAAGGTCTCTGGCCATTTCACGAAAGGACATAAGGACTGCCGTGAGAACGTTTCAATCGACTCGTATTCCGGGACGTTTTACAACAACAAATTTGAGATTTTGAATTGACTGAAAACCATGAAGAAGAAAACTTGCTTCGTTACTTCTTATTTGATACTCATATCGCATTTTAAGGAAACACTAATCCACCAAGTCGTGTCCACCATAATTATTTTAGAGTTAACGCATTTTTAAGCAGATAATTAATACATCATCACTTGAGGAATGTTCAAGTAAAGACTCTGCCTTGTTTACCTTGTGGTTAATAAGCATAAAACTTTAAAAAAAAGTGAAGTAACGAAAACTTAATTACCTGTAACTTTGTGTGCGTATGGCTGATTATTTCCATTTTCGTAAATATGAAAAATATAAGCGTTCGATGTTTAATAATTTGCAGTTACCCAACGAAAAATTCGAAGTACGAGAACCATTTAAACAGGCGTTTATTACTGAGGGTTACCAAAAGGACATGTTGGAGAATATGTTCCCCAGCCTTACAGAAGAATTAAATATAAACAACTACACAATTCGCTTTGGAACACTCTTACATTTAGAAGAGATGGAGTGGCTTGGCAATATACGCAAACATAACCGTGAACGAGGCCATTTCACACGTAAGGGCAGATATTATTTACGTCTCACCATAGAAAATGAAAAGCTTTCCGAATGTCGTCCTTCGTTGGTAATTGGAGACATTATCAAAGCGAAAGACCCCTGGACCGATAGTGAAAATGCCGAACACACATATGAAGGAGTGATTCACAAGGGGCTTTTCAATCGCATTCTGCTTAAATTCGATGCAAACTTTCAGCAAAAATATAGTGGCGAAAATTATCATTTAGAATTTTACTTCTCCCGGTATGGCTACCGGGAACAACACCACGCCGTCTTACGAGCGATTAAGAATTTAAGCGAACAATTCTTGTTTCCATCCGGAGCACGGACGCGTGGATGCCCACAATTGAATATACACTTTGATGAACATCGTGACCAGACGATAGAAGAGGATTCTAGAGAAGCGGAAATTCTGACCCAACTTGACGACTTACTGCCGCAATCACGAACTCAAGCCAAAACACATGGCATATCCTTCCGCGGAATTCGTTCTGAAGATATGCAGGAAGAAGCCTCGCCATCATGGTGTAATTTTTATGAAGCGAAGCAAGTAAGTTCTCTTTAGTTTAAAAGCAAAACCCCTTCAATTTAGTATTTTATCACATTTATTTAATTTTTAAAGGTCTTTCTAATGACAGTTAAGCTGTATCGAAAAAACATCAAATCGGAATCCATCGGCATAATAACACCGTACGAAAAACAAGTTAAACGTCTGCGTAAACTTTTCGATGATGCCGACGTAGCGATGGCTAAAATTGGCATTGTGGAGGATTCCCAAGGACAGGTATAAATTTCGTAAATTTACGCAAATTTACACTCATGTTTGAATTAATTGTTGCTTGGTTTTTTTTAGGAACGCGAAATAATATTAATCTCAACAGTGAGATCAAGCAAGGAGCTTATACCTAGCGATGTGCGACATGGATTAGGTTTCAACAAAAACAAGGCACTAACTAACCTTGCAATTTCTCGATCTCGTTACTTTTTATATATATATAGGACGTACTCCTTTTGGATCCTTATTGGTACCTGATTATCAAACACTGCGTTGACAACGATGCCTACATTGGTCGAGATTTGCCGGAATTGTCTGTAACTTTTATGTAATATGTATATATATAGTTTAATAGTTTAGTTTCTTGACTTGAATTACTTTCAATTATTGAATTAATTTTCAAATTTGAATATGTATTTAGTTTAGTTTCAATTTTTTTTGTTTCGTTTTTCGCCTTAATTTTATTTTTTGTTTTCTGTTGTGTATTAATTTATGTAATTTATGTTTAAATATAAACGAAATAAATAGCTTCGACGAAGTTAACACAGACAAACACCTAATTTATAACAGAGATAAAGATGAGATGATCGGCTGTGGTATCTCGTCAAAAGGCAAGAAGGTGGAGCACATTTCATATCTAATCTTCTCCGCGAGAAGCTTATTGACACATCTCAATATAATGCTAAGCGCAAAACCGTGCACCGACCATACAGATGATACCACGGATATAACAGATGCAATAAAGCTGGCAGAGGAGAACGGACTAGATATCCGAACTGTTGTCAGCGACAGAGCCGCAGCCAATAAGGACAGATTGAAAAAGTTCTTGAACGGCGTCTACAAATTAAAAAAGGGCAGGCGGCAACAGAAAATCAATTATGCTCCTGTATGATTATCCACATTTGCTCGGGGCGATAAAAAGATCATAATTGATTTTCTGTTGCCGCCTGCCGAATTTTGGAAGAGGAGAAATGTAGTGCAAACAGTTGCATCTCCACGATATCCCGCTGATAAGGTAAAATTCTACAGTGACATTACGCCAGTGTCACTGCAAGCGGCAATCGACATAGACACATTCGCTCCAGGAGAAGAAACTGTTGAAACTGTGATTGCCGAGCGGACATTAAAGTTATTTGAAATGTTATTTAACCACAATAGCAAACTCATTTCAACGCAAAACAATAAATAACATCAAAGAAAATCCGCAAAAGAATACCTAATTGCGGCCAGTAATTTGAACCAATTAGTCGTGGACACGATGCTTACAATAAATAATTATATAAGGATAATGGAAGATCTGATGGAGGCTTACCCTGGCATCCAGATAAAATCATACAGGGTAAGCCAAGATCTCCTGGATCGTTTTTTTTATAAAGATGCCGGTGAATCAAAGAAAACGAACGAGACCAT